ATACTTGAGATTATTATCTGGTATCAGTCACGTCGCCACCCCTCTTACAGCGCAGAAGCAGACAGTACACGCAGAGCCAAGAGACAGAAATCTTACCAGCCTATTGCAAAAATCACCCATGTGTTTGTTGCAGGGGCTGCCCCCACGTCATCCTCAGGCTGGTGATGCCAGCCCCTGCTCTCTGCCACGCTGCTAGTCACACAAGCAGGGACACGCTTGGGCAGCATCGAATCGCAGCACCGGCTGTTACTCGGCCCCTGAAAACACGCCTGCTTCCTCGGCGTTTCCAGCATGACGCTACCCCTGATGGGGCAATGCTTTCCCTTTTCATTCAGGCTGTGCTGCGAAATGGAGCAGGATGGGGAAACAGAAAGCGCTCGGCCATGCCTGGCAGCCTCAGCACTTCCTGAGCACTTCAATGGTTTCATCATCCTGAGAAACATGAGATTTGGGTTTCCCCTTCACAGAGCTGAGCCTGGAGCCGCATGCCTCAACCAGGCCAGTTGTGTAGGGGAGGTGGGGGCATGCTTTCATAAATGGGCTCTGATTTTCAGTGCCCAACTGGACATACCCAGCGCCTCATGCTCAAACATGCCAAGGCTCCAATGAAAGTCAATTAGCAGCTGCGGGGCTAAAAAAAATATCAGACCCTAAATGTCCACACTTGGACAAACAAAATTAATGGTCCTTTTGGGGTATATAGCTCTTCGTAGCTTGGGCCTGTGGGGGGCAGCAGTAGAGTATAGGGGGGTGCTCTTCTGCAGCAGGGGTTCGCTGGTCAGGTCAGTGAGCAGGACTGGGGCCCTAATGGGCCCTTGAGGAGTGGATGGGAAGAAGACAGCCAACGGTTGGCGTACAGTCAGGACTTTCTGCAATACCAGCCATCACCTATCCTGGAGTGCCACTGAGCACCAAGTATCACACAGGACTATCGGTGCACGATGCCTATACGACTACCTCTGCACCAGGCTCTGTTCATACTGGTTTCCATGTCATCTAGATCACTGGCTCAGGTCCCTGGTGTCCCTTTTCAAGCATGAGACTGACTGCACCAACACAGTTGCTTAGGTGGCACCCTGCAAACCTCGCAAACACCTTGTAGGATTATGTCCTCACGGTGTTTTGAACACAGACACACATGCACACACATCCTCTCCAGCAGCCAAAAGCTACCAAGTCAATTCAGAGTAACAAGCTGATGCATGACTGATGGGAAAAAAGCACCATTTAGGCAGAGAAGCCTGTTGGTTCCAATGTTATTTTAGAAAGGAATGAAAAATAACAGCACAATGAATGAAAAATACCTTGCTAGAGCCCTTTAAGGCCCTGCCCCTGCTTTAGCAGAGAAAGATATGGGATAGATGTGACGGGGACTGGAGAGAGGCTCAGATTTCAAGAAAAAAGCAGCTTTTTCCCAGTGATAAAATATTGCATGGCATACAATCCAAACTAGCTCCCCCCAGCTATTCCAAATTCCCTTCTTCATGAACTGCCAGTCTCCTGGATATATCGACTCCCAGCTTTGTCAACGCCTTGCATACGCTCAGGCTCACCCACCGTGCTCTGTCTCTTTAAATGTAGTTAACTAAGGCAGATGTTTTGCCAGGGCAAACAGCTGGAGCTAGATTTCCAGAAGAGCTCTGTGCCCTGGGTACCAAGGGCTTCGGAAACCCTGGCCTTCAGGGCTTGCCATGTTCCTTCAACTATAAGATGCCCTTGAATTGAAGACAGGCCTGAATTCCTCGACTCTCCATTTAAAAAAACAAAACAAATCATCAAGTACACGCTGATGATCAACACATGCTGACAAGGGGATACCCTGCATGGTGCATACAAGGGCCATTTCCTTTTTTTCATATTCGCTTTAAGGACATAGGCCAATTTCAGAAGAAATATTTTACCTTAAAAATCTCTGAGGAATAAAGGCTAGGACTCCTCAATCTAACCCAACATACCTGCAAAGGCCTCATCTTTACCTGTGGCCAGTTGTAGGCTGCTCTTGGAGTTTCAGCTACTGCACCATGTAGCTGTGGGCGAGGGATTAAAGTAGGGATCTGGGAGCTCCTTGGGCAGACGGCTGCCTGGGAATGCAGGGGGCTGGGTTTGATGGCCCCGTGTCCAATGTGGGATGGAGCATTTTAAAAAGAGACGCCACCTGGATGTAAAACCCCTGGCTTCTCAACACCTAGTGGGCATCTCTTCTGGTGCTTAGTTCACCTGCACTGCACCTTTCCCAGTCTGAACTCTGGTCCCACCAATGTACCCATGCTAGATCTTGGTCTAGAGTGAAGATCCAGTCTTGGTATCAAGCGTCTCCTCCCAGGACACTTGGTTATTTCATGACTAAATCACCCTCTCTTCTGGATGGAGCTGCTCTGGTCCCTTGTCACAACCCATGTCCATGGCCCTTCTCTTGCCCCTCCCCTATTTTTGCACTATTCTTATTGAAATTCAGTAAGAGATGCAGCCTCCCAGCGATGCTCCTACCAGCACTATGTCCAGGCCCTCCCCAGCATCCTCCTCCTTGTTGCTATATGGGTGGACATTGGGATAAGTTCAGCCCAGGGAATGACACCCAGGCCCTGAGACAGGGAACTTGCTATGCGAATGAGAGGAGGGCAGAGATGCAGCTCAGGGATATGCCCACTAGATGGTTTGGGGTGTTGATTGCAGCCGTGTTGATTTGGGTAAACGCGATATCTTTTATTAGCCCAACTAAATAGTTGGAAAAATTGTTCTTTGCAAGCTTCAGAGGACGAACAAGGGTGTTTGCACTCAAAAACTTGCAAAGAACAAATTTTCCAACTATTTAGTTGGTCTTATAAAAGATATCACATTTACCCAAAGAACCTGGTCTGCCCACTAGATGGTGTAGCTCAGATGACAATGAACAGAGCGGGCCAAGCCAAACGGGTCCCTGGCATCCCCTGGGCACTGCAGCTCCTTCACAATTCACAGCCAGGAGCCTGTGAAGGTCTCCAGCGTGATTCCCCTGACCTGCCTCGAGAGGCCCCCAAGTGCGTGCTCACAAGCTGGATCCACTTGCTTAGCCTGGGCTTTGCTCTCTCCTGTTTGCAAAGGGCGATGATTGTGCTCTGGCATGTTCAGCAACCATGAGAAACAGGAGGTACCAGGTATGGATAGAGCATGGGCAGGATTTAGAGGGAGGTCTGCAGCTGCTACCATAACACACCAAACAGAGGGGAAGAGGAGAGACGGGGAGGGGGCAAGTTATAAACGCCAAGCCAGAAAAAGAACTATTCAGCAAATAGAAGGTTTTCAAACGACATCTTATAAACATGTGCATACACACTCACACACACATGTGCACACATGAGCACACATACACACATACAAACACATGCACATGTATGCACAGGCACAAACATGCATGCACACACTTCTTTTTAACAACCCAGCTTACTGGAAAAGCATGGTGCTCTCATGGAAGCCATCTGATACCTATTTAAATGCAAAGGGAAGTCCCCCACTGATTTCAGTGGGAACTGGAGAGGTCTCGATGTGATCCAGGGGAAGTAGGCAGTCAGAGCTGGCACGTTTCCCTGCCATCACTCTCTGCAAGGCTCATAAAACACAGTCGCAAGTGCGATGTGCCTGCCAGTTTGCAGACAGGTCTCACGGGACTGGTACCTGCTCACTGGCAACTAGAGTCTGGCTGCATTCATTTTGGTACCTCCCTGGAAAGCCCCAGAGGCCCCGAGGCAAACATACTGCTGCCATATACTGAGGCAAGTCCTCTTCTGGAGGCAAAGCTGCCCTTGCCCAGGAAAACCCACCCCGGTTCCAACCTAGGGTAAATTCGTCCTGGGACAAGGTAGTTTTTGGCCAGAACAGCTGTTTCAGCACCGTTGCTCCAAAGCTCCCTGTCCTGGGGCAGACACGGCTCTGGTGTGCTGCAGCATGAGTTGAACCAAGGATGCTAGAGGTGCGGGGACTATGGTGGTCCACCCGGCACTCACTCGGTGCTTTCTGCCCTTTCAGTACAAGCTAATGAGTCTCCAACCAGAGCTCCGCTCTGTGCCCATGATGCCAGGACGGGCTGATCACCCACCAGCCATGCACCTCACAGTTGGCTGGTGTTCATCCTCCCTGCACCCCGATGCCCATGATGCCTGGACGGGCTGATCAGCCACCAGCCATGTTGGCTGGTGTTCATCCTCCCTGCACCCCGAGAGGCAGTGGAACATCATGCTCATTTCACAGATGGGAAAACTGAGGCACAAAGAGACCCAGGCACAGGCTGGGAGAGCTGGCAAGGGAATGCAGGTCCTCCCAGCCCTGGGAGAGCTCCCTCACCACTGCATAGAGTCTGATCCAAGTAAAGAGCTTTTGTGCCTGTAACGCGGAAGGAAGGGAGAAAGGAGCCTCTGGTCGATGAAAGCCAAAGGGCTCACGGGCTGCAGCTAGGAGTAGACGCTACTTCTCAGAGAGCCCTGCGGGTTCAAGCTTGTGAACACCTCCTCAAGGGCACATGCCACCCCCAGCTGGTCTTTGTCACCCTGTCCCGAAAACAAAGCCAGCTCCTTGCTGTTTCCTTCCCAGTGCAGGGAGTGTCTAGAGCGGGGAGTCAACCTTTTTGGCAGGCATGGCACAAAGTAGCCCCACACCTTCCCCGAAGGCCACTCCAACCCTCTTCCCCTGGCCGATCTGCTGCTCTGCTTTCTGCTCCCTCCCTCGTGCTCCCTGCCCAATCCACTGCTTCCTACCCATGCTCCCTGCCTGATCACCTCCTGTTTTCCGCCCTGTGCCCCTGTCTGATCTGCTGCTCTGCTTTCTGCTCCCGGCCCTCTCTGTTGCTGCTCGTTTTCTCCCTAAACTGCTGTGCGCCACACGCAGGGGCTGCCCATGCCACCTGTGGCAGGTTGGGCGCCCCTAGTCTAGGTCTTGGTCCATGCCCAGGTTTGAATGTGCTGAGTTATGGCTTCCTATGCAAGGTCACCCACCAGACTAGAGCATCTAATGCGTGCTCTGCTACTTACCACAGCTCACATCAGGGACAGCTGGGAAGGAAGCATGGCCCGTGGGGATGGCTTACCCCCCAAGTGACCAACTTGCAGAATAACCACCCTTCAGCCTCTGCTCCAGCGGACGGATGGTCCCCTATGTATCCTTGGCGGGATCTGGTGGAAGGCAAGAGGGTGGTAGGCACCGTGCATCATGCAGACAGATAAGACAACTGTAAAGGCAGCAAAGGGCTGTAAATAAAAGAAGCAGAACCGGAAAAGCAACTGGGTGACGCCCCGGGTGCTTGAGCAAGGAACAAAGCCCCAAAGTGATAGCATCAGCAAATCTGACTATCCGCAGGGTCCATTAACCACAGCCTCAAACCACAGAACAGGATTCGGGACTGACCCGAAAAGCAGGGCTGCAGCGCAGGCCAGAAGGAAGAGGACTCTCTGTGTTCATTGCTGACAGAGAGATCCTGACCCCCCTGTTGCCAGAAAACCAAGGTAGAGGGGACCAGGAGGGAGAGACAGCAGGACCTGGAGGGGGTCACACTGCATCAGCCTTATGACAATGAGAACCAGGTCCAAGTGTCAAGTGGCAGAGAGCAGCTGTGTGGCTGAGGGAGGCTTTGCCTATCCACACTGCCAACGGCCAAGCTAAGGAGAGCACGAGTGAGATGCATGGAGCTCGTTCCCTCCAGGGACATTTCTCTGGGCACAGACAATGGGAAGGAGAGCTCCTCATCCAGCGTGCTGGGATATTGCTACAGAAGGTGGCTGAAGAGCGCAGGTCCCACGCCGGGGCCGTGGTGCAGGGGCAGTCCACGCACTGCTTGTGGATGGTTTGCATAGAGCTGGTAGGCACGGCGGCTTCGGCCCTTGTTCCCAGCAGCTTCTGCAGCCACTTGTGCTTCTCACTGCCATGAACTGGGAAGAAGAGGCCTTGTCACCTCTTAAACGCTCTCCTTATTCCTGCTCTGCCAGCTTATTTCCCCCTCACCCAGCTCCAGAGCTGCGGGAGGCCGTGGCCAAGGCTTGAGGTGGCTCCTGCCACATCAGGGTGTCTGTGCTCGAGCAGTCTCTCCTTCAGATCACTGCATCCTCCTCTCCAGCCTTCATCGCCTTCAGTCACCGCATGGGTCCCCCTTGGTAACAGGCTGGCTAGGACATATCCCACCGCCCGCTTCACCTCCGTTCGCTTCCCCTGCAGTCAGCTGAAGGGCTCTCAGGGCTCGGACGGCACCACCCTGGCCTGCCTCAGGACCTCAGCTTCATGACACCAACACGACCAACTCCAGGGCTCTATCCGTGTCCTTCCCCCACTGCCCTCCTTGACCAGTTTCCCAGTGCCATCCTTATTTATGGGTTAATCTCCAACCCCAGTAGGACCAGCCTCTTCTGATGCCAGCCCCAGCTCAACACTCACTTCTTCTCTGATGGCCAGAAGAAGCCAATTTGTTGACCATGGCCCTTTCCAGATGTCCTTCACCATAGGATGGGATGGGAGGGGAAATGCCCCCCAGACATGACCTCCAATTTCTGCCTTTCCTATTGCATCCCATCTGCTGGGAGCTCTCTGGGGCTGGGATTGTTGTTAGTTGTATGCATTGTACAGCCCTGAGTTCAACCGCAGAATTAGCAGTATGGACTTGGATATCATGCGTGGAGCTCTGCTTTCAGGAGAGGCCAGGCCTGCTTCTCTTCCCAAAGCTTAGACACAGGCTTAGCTTCTCCTCTAGTTCAGTGGGTCCCAAATGAGGGGTCATGGCCCCAAGTGACAGCGCGGTAGTCATGAGTGGGGTCACAAGCCCGGCAGAAATCCAATGGCATGGCTTTCAGACCCTTGCAAGGTTTCCAATATGACAGGATCCAGACGCCTCACTGATGCGAATGAAGGGACCCTTCCACATCTCTGTGAGGTCAGAAAGCACTGTCTTTCCTGTTCCACACCTGGGGAAGTGAGGCACAGGGACCTGGCTTTCTAGTGCCTTGCACCTCATGTGAAGTTCAGCCAAGAAAGTTCTGCTGGAACGAACCAGCTCCACAAAACATTGCACCACTTCCAGCCCTGGATGCCGGTATCTCTCCCAGTGCGACACTGCGGGCCTGCTAATTAGCTCTGCTGAGAGGCAGATATTCTGTGCCTGGCATCATGTGCACGTGGTGCTTGGCAGCATCGTGAGGAGTCCTCGCAGCAGCTGCAGCAGGACGTTGCAATCCAAGACTGACTTTTCAAACTGGGGGCAAAAATCCCGTTTCAGGGATTCCTCAGAGGACACTAGGACGTGGCCTTACAATAGCACCCTGCTTCACTCCCCTGGAAAATTCAGGACCCCTTGGTCACTTCTGGTCTAAGACCCTGCTTTTTCCTCAAAGCCCTGACCCACGTGCAGTTCCCGCTGTCTTCCCTTAGAGACCCAGGGGCCAAGCACATTGTTGAGGACCAGGTTCAAGCAAGATCTTTCAAGTTGAGCAGCCAGTCCTGGAGAGGCATCCATGATCAAGGGAGCATTGTGGGAAAGTTTGGGGTTGGCCCCATTTTTCCATCTATAGGAGGTCGGCAATAGCTGTATAGCTCCCAGAGAGTCGTAATGAAGCTTAGTGCCTTCATGGACATGATTGTACCATTTATATGGCCTTTGTGACCATAGGGCCTGCAAATCTTGAATCTGATTTTCCTCACAAGCCTTCCTGTGAGGCAGGAGAGGGCAGGGACTCTAGGTCAGACTGGAAGACTGTGGCGGGGACCAGGGATTGAACCCACCTTTCCCCTGAGTTTGACTTAAGTGCCTTAAATCAGTGGTTTGCAATCTGCGGCCCTCAGGCTGGATCGGGCCCATGGAGCCACTTTATCCATCCTGTGGCATGGTGGCGGCAGTGGGATGGGCTGAGTTGGAAGCAGCCTGTGCTTTGTTTAGAGGCTTCTGCTTCACCAAGTGTCTAACCCCTGCTCCAGTGATCAGTCCATGCTGCGTTGGGCTCTATTACTCCAGTAAATGCTGGGGTGACCCCTCTGACATCCCCTCGGCATGGAAGAGGAACAGCTCAGAAGCGAGTCCTACCCCACATCTGCAAGGCTTCCTCACCAGAGGCCTCCCTCTGTGAAAACTCTTCTGACTTTTAAACCCTTTTGCCCGTGCAGTCATCTGCATCTTTCCCCCGTTTCCTCGTTTCCCTTGGCCCGTGCACATATAGGAAGTCACGGTGCGGCTGAAAAGTTTATTGGTGCCACATCCGTTCTCCACATGCTGAGTTTGCCAGAGCAACAAAGAGCCTTATTGTTTCCCGTGCTCATTCCTGTCCTGCCGTCATGAACAGTGATGTGGTCCAGACCCCTTTTCTTTCCCTCGTGCTACTCTAAAGAGCAAGCAGCGTTTCAGGACTTACCCCCCTGCTTCTGGCTTTTGGAGTCTTGGCTGCATACGTCTCTGCGGGCTCGGCTGTACGGCCAGCACCATCTCTGCTTAAGCCCTCCTCCAGGTCCCGGGCCCACGTGCCAGCTCCCGCAGCACCCTCTCCAAGCCAGAGTCCAATTTCCAGCCACTGAGTCAGTCGCAGAGTTTATTTGTTCAGTGGAATATCAATACACAGGAAAACAGCCCGTGACCTGCATGGGCTGAGGGGCTCTGCGGCTCTTGGCAAGTGCTCGGATATGAAGCAATTATTGATCTGCTGCCCGCTGGGATTTGCAAGAGTTCACAATTTGCGTTGAAAGTGTCAAGGAGACGCATCCATTTCCAGACGAGACCGGCAGTCACTCAGCCACATTGCCTTGGCCGTATCACTGGGGGCGCAGTGTCTTAGACCAGAAGTGACCAATGGTCCTGAATTTTCCAGGGGACCAAAGCAGGGTGCTATTTTAGGGCCATGTCTCAGTGTCCCCTGAGGACTCCCTGAAATGGGATTTTTGCCCCCAGTGTGAAAAGTCGGTCTTGGATTGCAACGTCCTGCTGCAGCTGCTGCGAGGACTCCTCACGATGCTGCCAAGCACCGCGTTCACATGGCACTCGGCACAGTTTATTTGGCTCTGCCTCTCAGCAGAGCTAATTAGCAGGCCCGCAGGGTCATATAGAGAGACATACCAGCATCCGGGGCTGAAAGTGGTGCCAATGATCTGTGCAGCATTAATTGTACCCTTCATGTTGCTCCCTGAAGCAAAATCATCTCACTTAGGGCTAGGTCTTCAAAGCCGGGAGGCACCAAACAGTTGTGGAGATTTTGGGATACATGAGCCCAGGTGATGCCTCAGAGGCAGGAACTGAACCCCAGTCACCCAATGCCGAGGGCTGCACATTAGCCTCAAATGCATCCTCTCCTGTTATCATCCATTATCCTAGGTGGCACAAGACATGCAAGTGAAGATGTCCCCTTCCCCATCAGGGAAAGGGGCCTGGAAGATGGGCTGAGCTGGGAGTGATTGCAACGGGCTGGAGAGATTGCAATGGGCTGGGAGTGCTTGCAATGGGATGGAGAGATTGCAATGGGCTGGGAGTGCTTGCAATGGGATGGAGAGATTGCAATGTTCTCCAAAAGATCCAGGGAGGAATATGGCTGAGGAGATGTAGGCAAACTGGGACGGGGAGCCCCATCTACATGTCAGGGTGGTGTGGAGACAGGAGGAAGTCATGGGGTGTCCACACAGGCCAGGAGGAGAGGGCAAGTGGATGGAGCTGAGAGCAACACCGGGGCCAGTGCAAGGCTGAAGGGAAGAGGTTTACTCTGGCCAGGAGGTGGGCAAGCAGCCAGCAAGAGGAGGAAAATGTGAGGGAGCAGGTCCGGATCAATACCAAAGCTTTCAGCCCATCGCTGTTGAGGGGAGGCTCCTTGCTGGCAGCTGGGGAGGTTTATGAGCCTTTTTCTTTGGCTATTCTCCATCGCTCAGGGACCGCATCCTGCAGCTTGTACTGACAGGCTGGGCGGACACCAGTGAACATGCCTAGCCCATCCCCGCCACGTTCAGAAGCCTGTAGCGCTGCAGAGACTTGATCCCATGGCCTCACACATCCTTGACACGTGCTCTATCCAGTTGATCATCCTTCCTCACCCAGCAAGAACGGGGTCCACCACTGCCCTCTAGCTCCCTGCTTTCTCCAAGCCAGACGTACCATGCAAAGAGACCCTAAAAACCGCGATGGCTCTGGGTGTGCAATTCAGACCTGAATCCAAACACCCCCCAAGAGGCCTAAGTCCTTCTCTGAGAGAAGTGCCTTTTCAG